AGTATCTCAGAAGAGCTGTGGAGGGTCACAGGTGGGTTGTGGAGGATCTCAGGAGGGCTGTGTGGGGTTTCCCGAGGGATGGCAAGGGTCTCGGAAGGGCTGTGTGTGGGGTCTCCCCAGGGCTGTGCAAGGTCTCAGGAAGCTGTGCGAGGTCTCAGGGGGGCTGTGTGGGATTTCAGGAGGGCTGTGTGGGATCTCAGGTGGGCTGGGGGCGGTCTCAGGAGGCTGGGCAGGTTCACAGGAGGGATGTGCGGGTTCTCAGGATGACTGTGCAGGGTCTCACCATGGCTGTGTGGGGTCTTGTGGGCGGGTGCTGGCAATGGCATTCTTTAAAGAGCAGGAGATGTGTGGCTGGAGCTGTAAACAGGCACTCTGTGGTTAACAGGAAAGCTGCGGAGGTCCCTAGGTAGCCGCTTCAGTTTGTAAATGTAAAGTGCTGGTATCAGCGCTTAGTGTTGGGGCCTGTTCATGAGTACGAATACTCGTAAAATGTCCACTATCGGCACTGATACTGGTGAATGCTTAAGGTATAATATAATGTATTGCTGAGATTTGTAGTCCGGTACAGCTGGTAGTATTCTGCTCTGCTGTCTAATTATTACACAGCAATGCTATAAATTATACAGGACTATTAACACCAGCAATACATTTTCTTGCAAATCTTCAATGCGGTATATTATAACACTAGCTAGTACAAACCAACCCCCTCCCATCCCTCCGATCCCCCACCCAGACATGGACTCAGCCTCACCTAACAATTCCAGCATGCCGTTTCTTCTTGGCGACCAGGGTCGGGATGGAATGTAGGATACGGCGCTCAGCGTCTCCCATTGAGTTCTGTCTGGCGGTGCCTCCAGTGCCAGGCTGAACAGTGGGACATTGCATCCACATGGTCGTAGGGCTCCTATTGGCACAGCGACAACGGAGGGAGTGGTGCTATTGGGTACTTTCCCTGAAGTGGGTGGGGGGAGTATAAGAGACCAAACCACAGAGGAGTGCCGACAGACAGGGGAGTACACGGTACATACAACAGGCAGCTACTCTCAGCGATCGAGGTCCAGGACAGTACTACATACAGCTGTATCCGATCTCCAAGAAGCCCCCCTAGACTGCAATATACGACCCGTACAAGTTCACTTTCTACACGGACTGGATCCTACAATGGTAAGCGTTCGCTGTATCTTGGCTTGCTTATCTGCTTACCTGTTCTCATGTATGTAGAAGTGGTTTGGGGTGTATTGACAAGCAGGCGGAGACATACGGAAGCAGAAGCATTGCGTGTGGAGCACATTCAGAATGGCCATTGTACTGTAAGTGAGTGCCTGATTGTAAACATGTGGAGCTCACACTCATCCAAAGCAAATTGTCTATTCCAGATGTATTTCGTAATCAGCCTTTCTCTACCAGGGCTCCATAAAACCTTCAGGGTTTACTAGGGGCTTCTTGTGCTGTGGTAGATAAATTTCCCACCTGAAGGTACCTGCATAGTTCCAGTACTGACAGCACTCATCAGAGGGCACTACTCCAATGTAACAAGTTTTCTACCAACCACCAATGTGAAGGGGATCCTCTGTTACTGACCACCCATGTAAAGGGGATCCTCTGTTACTGACCACCCATGTGAAGGGGATGCTATGCTAATGACCACCAATGTGAAGGGGATGATAGCGAATGACCACCAATGTGATGGGGATGCTATGCTACTGACCACCAATGTGAAGGGGATCCTCTGCTACTGACCACCAATGTAAAAGGGGATCCTCTGTTACTGACCACCACTGTGAAGAAAATCCTATCCTGATTATTCAGCAGCAAACATAGCAAATCCGCCGGATTATCGCGCTTGCACTATTTTGGGGGCCGCGCAGTTTTGTACCGCACGGTCCCCGCAATAGTCTGAACAATGCACATTAAAGTGCATTGTTCCCTCTGTTTAGAGTGGCTCCGCGCGTATTCGTACAGCCGCTCCAGTGTGGATGGAGCCTCATTGTAAAGAAGCACTTTTTCACCACCCTCCTTTGTAAGACAAGCACTAGCAAATAACAACTGATGAAAAGGGCATTTTTCCACTGACAACGGATTAAAAAAAAGACCCATTACAATTTTGACAGTCTGCATTTTCTTTTGTAGCCATTATTATTATGTTGCATACCATTTATTAGGGATTCCCTGAGACGTGTAGTCTATTTCAATGTTTCCTCTATGGAAAACAGATTAAGGAAGGCTGATATAGATCAGTAAAATTTACATAACAGAGATCTTTCAGACTCATTCATGGAACAATCGATAAGCGTACTAGAAACTAATTTACAGGACTGCTAAGATTAATCTTTGTTGTACTGTACTGCTCTGTGGACTGCAGCAACATACTATAGGCCTGTCCTTATCCCTGAAAATGTAGATTTTTGTTGTTCAGGAGGAAAGGAAACGGCATAGCTGTGATTTGAATATGACTGCTTTAGCTAAAGGTTTTAGTTTTAAAGTAGAACTAAAGCTAAAACAACAGAAAATGAGAGGGATAATTTCCCGTCAATTCCTTTTCTGGTAACAACTAGTTATTTGGAAATTTTCTTTCACTTTCACTCTCAAGGACAATGCTCTCCGGGACATATAAAGAGGGTGGAACTCCTTAACGGGAGAGAGACACAGAGAGTAACAAAATCCTCACATATGTTCTAATCTCTCTCCACTCTATCCAAAACCAAATGAAAACCTTTGGCTTTAGTTCTATTTTATGTTAAAGTGTATGTTTAGCCAGAAAGTGCATAAAGGTTAAAACCTTTATTAGGTTTTTATTGCTGTCTTTATCCCCCTTTGGGAGATTAACCCTCTCTACTTATCCTAATGACCATTGCCACTGAGACAAATTTTTACAGTTGTCACCAAAACATGAGGTAGGGGAAATCATCCAATGAGGACACCTGGTCAGATGGCATCTGTGACTCTGTGGAGATTTCCTTTCACTTCCTGCTGCATCTCCAAGCCAGGAAGTAAAGGCAAATAACCCTGGTCGGAAACAGAAAGGAAAAAAAATTAAACCGACAGGGTTTTTAAAGAGAACTAAAGCCAAACCTTTTTTTGGCTTAAAGCGGACCTTTACACTCAAAAATCAAATTCTACCAATACATCCCTCTATGTATGATGATTAATAATAACATAGACATGTCAGGTGTAAAATGCTGTGATTTTGAAATACTTACACTTGCACAGCATTCGCTTCTTGCTTTGAAAGGGCAAAATGACTTCAGTTTGCCAAAGCAATGCACACTGAGAAGGTTACATCAGCAGAGCATTGGTGGGAAATCTCATCTCAGTGAAAGGCATTTTCCTCCCCTGGGATGATGTGCATGGTCACATGTCTAGTCACATGTGCCAATTTTCAGGAAGTAAAGGGAGATCCAGTAATCTGCCCTTAATAAACATGGCCACTGTCAGAAGCCTGGGGAAGAAAAGAGCAATAAGGTATGCAAAGAATACAAAGCTGGCAATTATCTAGAAGTAGGTGTTTGTAGATTGTCATTACTAAACATTTCTAAAGGTGTGTTTGTTGTTATTTTAAAGATCCGGGTAAAGGTCCACTTTAAGTCCTCTTTTGGGTCACAGGAGTAAAATTACTGTATTCTAGTGACCAAAGGTCAGCATTTAGCATTTTGTGAACATTTCGTATACTTCTGACTCAAGACAGTGCACAATACGCTGCTTTTAACTTAGTACGTACTGTGACTTGTATCTAAAAATGTACAGGTTTCTACAGTGTGAGATTGTATTCTCTCTGCACAATATATATTATGCAAATTCAATAATATTTACTAAACCTTTGTCATGGTCAGTTATGAACAGGTTATATGTAATATTTACATAGTTAGACAGGTTGAAAAAAGACACATCATGTCCATCGAGTTCAACTTGTCATGGCAAGCAGACAACTTTTTTTAAAGTAAATATATTTTCAAACAGGATGTGTTATGTTTCCATAGATTCAAAATGTAAATATGTAATTTGAATACTTCCAATTGTGTGATTAGGGGATAATAACCTAGAAGATATATGTTCACACTATATAATACATTATAAAGTTTAATTGTATGCATAGGAAAAACATCTAGTTTTTGATAGAGCAGGGACGGGCAACTCTGACCATCAAGCTCTGCTTTAACTACAAATCCAAACATGCCCAACTGTCAGTCCTGCAATGCCTCATGGGCTTGTAGATCCGCAACAGCAGGAGTTGCCCCCCACTGGGATAGAGTAATGAGGGGTTAGAACTCCTGTCAAGTCTTTAAAAGCTCATTCAAACAGGCTGCTGAGCAAGTTTTGATGTGTTTTCCCCCGCCAGGGAGCCACATGTGCTCCATACAACCTCCCATAGAGGTCAATGGTTGTAGGCGGGTATATGTCGGTACTTAAGTACAGCCACATATGCATACAGACGTAAATCCCTAGAAGCAGGGATTCATGTTTCTGCATGCATACGTGGCTGTATGCAAGTCCCAGTGTATATCTGCATACAGCCATTGACAATAGGAGGCTGTACACAGCACCTGCGACTCCCTGACAGGGGGAAATACGTCAGAACTTACATTGTATGGACTCATGTCCATGTGAATGAGCTCTATCCCTGTCTGTGTCCTCGCTATAGAGATTTTATTCTTTTTGTCCTGGTGAACGCTGAAAGTCCCAAATATTGATTTGTCACCAGAACAGCAATAGAGGGAAAATTGTAAAATTAGGACAGTATCCGGAAGTTATCCCATGATAACTTGTGTAAGAGGGCACTTCCCCATTTTGGAAAGACTTCCTGTTGTGTTTACAGGTCAGGAAGTTAAGGGAAGTGTCCCCAATGGGACAGAGATGGTAACAAAAACCTGACATATTTTAAAGGGTATTTCCACTTTAGCAGTCAGATGTGAGAAGAAAAAAAATCTCACCATATGTTTGTTACGTGTTCCAATTCGCACAGCATACCTAGAAATAATTTTTGAAACTATTTTTCTTTCTAGATGTTTCTTTGGAGCAGGCCTTTGGGCAGACTAGACTGCAGGCAGCTTTGAATAATATGAAAATGAAAGTAAAGAGATATAGTGGGAAAGGACTCTGTTTCCCCTCATAAACATAAAAATTAGAGCGCAAGCCCTGAGATCTTTAACCCTTGGGCAGACAAATCTAGTACAGGCAGGGTAAATTGTGGTAAACATTAACCTCCCCAATCCCCTCCTTAACATGTCAGAAGGGGGAGGTGTTTTTTTTAGTAACAATGCAAGCAGCAATTTTATAAAAAAACATTTTGTTATACTATGTGAATGGGAACATGTAACAGAGGTGGGCAAGTTTGTCCCTCCAGCTGTGGTGAAACTACAAATCCCAGCAAGCCTATGCTTCTGGGAGCTATGCCTGTGGCTATCAGAGACTTGCAGCGCATCACGGGACTTGGAGTACCACAACAGTTGGAGGGCCATAGTTGCCCACGCTTGATGTAACAAAACAGAATAGAAAGTAGGAGTTTGGATCCTGTCTGTGTCTGAGCACGGACACCCGTTCCCACCCAAATGTGCAGCTCGGGCGTACAGTCACGTCCTCCCATAGGGAAGAACAGGCTGCTGCGTACAATCACACGCAGCACCTGTCCTTTCCGGGAACAGCCCGATACGACCGTGGGCGCCGCACATATCTCTACTGGCCGACTCTTAGCTGTGTGAATGAGGCCTTAGTCATGTAGAAATGATCTTAATTCATTGGTAAAATATCACTTACAGATCTCCTTACCCATTTCAGCTGAACTAATTCTTTATCTGCATTTGTTCTAGGCCTTCTTCTGTTTGGTTGTTATCTCTCTATGTTTGGCAAGAAGTGTCCATGCTAACATATGTTCACCAGTGATCACAGATGATCATCTGAAGTACCTGGATGTGATGGTAAGAAAAGGAAAGAATGAAAGGCAGTCAATAGACTATGTCACAGTAATTGTAGTAATTTGTAGCTCAGTCGGTAAGGGCTTAATTCACCTAAATATCTCATACAATTTTGAGGTATAATAACTCAGGAGTTATTTAACGCTTGAGTATACAATTCACTAAATTCTGGGTTATGTACCTAATGAGATTTCTTCAAAACATGCGGTATTGTTCTCAAAATGTAGGCTTTTTTTTCATTGGTCATTTCCAGTAAAAACAAAAAGGCACTTGGGTACAGTCAGTTGTGCCCATCACATTAAAAACCAGTCAAGACGTAAAAAAAAAAAACACTTTATTTGGTCCCATTCCTGCATTTAGGATGGCATTCTTCTCTTTTGGATGAATTTATATTCCAGCAATGTGCTCTCAATTACTTCTTACTTCCATTGCGTGAAATGGGAGGTTCAGAACACTTTTACAATGCTACAGGCTGACAGACTGCAAATACTGAGTGCCTCAGCCTGGTGGTAATTACCTCATACCTTTTCATTTTTTTTTTTGTGAATTGACTTTAACGTATTTCATGTAATATTCATCTCCATATTTTTTAGTTTTCGCTTTATTTATCTCACATTATTTTAATGAATTGCCTTTTTTTCATTTCATGTCATATTTCACTAAAGAAAAAGTCACGTGACCATTTTATCTCATGCAATAACATTCAGTAAATTGACCCCTGAGTCATTGATGTTTATAGCTGCTACAGATCTCTGCTCCAACATCATTGGCGTGACATGGCCCTAAAGATGTGCAAATCATTCCTTTTTATTTCTGTGGTAATATATGCATCTAGAACTGCTCAAAACCTAATACAAAGCATGCAGATATTCATATGTAATTACACGCTGTTTGAAGGCAAAGTCTACTTAAAATAAATAACCACATATTCATTAAAAAAAAATGAGTTTTTTGTTTTTTTTTGCATTGAAACTGTAATCAGTGGATTGCGGGTGCGGTGCTCTTGCCCCTACAGATTCTCTCTCCCCTCCATGTCCATACTGAGGTACAGACATTAAGTTACATGGACTAGAGGAAGATTGAATGGACTACAAGTGCGCTGACGTCACCGCACTTGTAGTCCCTCTGCCACAGTGGCTAATGGGATTTGTAGTTCTACATTCACAGATCATGTCAGAGATTCTGTGAATGGATGACGCGGCTGTGTGGGTGGAGCCACATGGGGGAGAGTAAGGGTGGCAATGTCACCATGTTTCATGTTACACAGTGACAGTCGCTTGAAGGCCCAGTTCACACCAGAAACTGCATCACAACTGCATGCGTCTGTGCAGTTGCACTGCGATCCGTTTTGATGCGTTTCTGATGCGGGGTTTTTCTGCACTAGGAAATGCTAATTAGACAGACCTTATATAGAAGTTTGAGAAAAAGTGAACTGACCGCATTGCTGTTTCTGTACCCGGTTCATAGCCCTAAAATCTGGGTGCAACTTTTCAGCAATCTCCCTCCACTTTGCCATCTTCTGGCGATTTTATTCTTATATTGGGGATGCTTGCTGTCGTACAGTAGGGGACAGTCCCGCACATATTGGATGAAATCATCTGCATCCACAAATTCCCTGGGTGATGACAATCAATTCTGAGGTTTTTTTTTTGTTTGTTTTTTTGTATGCTTTCCGGTAGGTAAAATAGGACAAGCAGTACTTTTTCTGACTTCATCTGAATGGACTGCAATGGTGTGAATTAGGCACAAGAAAGCCCATAGGAAAGCATTGTGATGTATTTTGACTGCAGCAGTCAAAATAAACGGACTGCATCACAACTGCATATAGTGTGAACAGGCCCTAACAGTTTTTCTGTTTGTGATAGTGAAATAATAATCCATTCCCTGTTATAATTGTAACTATTAACTTTCTGTTACAGATTGATGCCCAGTTAAACACTTCATGTTCCGTGCAAGTGGAATTAATAGATGACAAAAAATTCAGAAACACAGTGAGTTTGACAAAGCTCAATTCATAAATTATTTGAAAAAATGTACATGGGGATCTAGAACATGTAAATAATGATCACATAAGCAAAATGTACCGTGTAACACAAAGTGGCTGCTGTATGTACTGCAGTCTACTGGACCACATTAGGACTGCCCAGTTTAGACAGTACAGTAAAGCCCACTCACCCTGACCATGACCCAATTGTTTTTTTTTTATTACCAATGTCAGACTGAAATTATACTTTTGTTGTGTCGCGCTGTGTCATTGCAATTTTTCCCATTGTTTTGATTTTCTACTGCTGCGTTGCTAGCATTTGTAAAAGACCCCCCAAACCATATATATTTTCTGAAAGCACAGTCCCGGTAGAAAAAGAAGATGGTGCTACTAATTTTGTAGGTCCTGTGATAATTACGCAAATGTTTGTCAAATCAATAATTACATTGATAAAAGCACACTAAAATCAGTACCAATGCACAAAAAAAAAAATTTTCCGACTAACTCTAAAAGATAAAACTGTAGAGAGTTAATAAATAACAAATATTTGTAAATTGCGCTTTTATGCAAAGCGGTAAAAAAATAAAGTAACGCAAAACTGTTAATAAGCGACTTATGTTAAAAATCGTTTGTGCGCTGTGTTTGTGTTAATCGCAACAGTGTATCACAATGCACGGCAATGCGTCACAACGCTTTACCATGCGTTGCTACACAGTTGAATTAATGTTATTTTAAAAATAAAAAAACAAGCACTGTGATGTGTTCTAACAACGCAGTGCATGTGCATGGCGTACACCACAACATGGTGCATGTGTATGTTATCTCTGTGTGGGGGGGGGGGGGAGTTGTGTTTTTCTTTTTATTATTCATTTTGTTATTTTTTTTTTTATTTTTTTTTTACTGTTGGGGGGCTTTGGGGAAATTTCAAGGTTTAGACCCCTGACATTTCCTTTTAGAAAAACACAGAGTTCTCAATCTCTTTTTCTGCAGCCTCTGTTCTGAATGAATGGAAAGCACTCAGTACAGATGCTTCCCATTCTTATACAAACTGGAGATAGTCAAATATTTACTATCATCCAGTTATAAATTTATGAATGCGTAGAAGCCTTTGTGCTTCTCCCCTTCAGAAACTCATGAATGAACAGGAAGTGATGTAAAGCACTTCCTATTCATTCATAACTGGGAACACATACATTGGAGTGATCAGCTGATCAGTCCAAGTGTTTGTCCTGCACACAGGGATTCAGTAAATATCTGTGATCCTGGATTTGACAGCTGGCGGTTCTGCACACTGCTTGGCCATACTGGATGTCACGGCTCCCCCCGCTCGCCGGGCATTTCTCCTATGATTCCCGCTGCCTAAGGTGGGTGAGAGCAGCGGGGATCTGAGGAGAAATAATCCCAGCCTGGAGCGGCTCTAGGCAGGGAGAAAGGCTGCAGATGCCGGGGGGAGGGGGGAGTGCCACATTTTTTGTTAATAGCTGTCATCTATTATTTTACAGAGGACCGTCAGGGGAACCGTTCTGGTGTAGATTCATGGTCGCTGCAAGCAGTTGTGCTCTTCCATATGCCATACGTCGGTGGCAGCGAAAGGGTTAAAGCAGAACTCCGGGCAGATTTTTTTTTCTGGGGCTACCTCCGCATTGCAAGGGTTGACTGCTCATTTTTGTCTAGGCGGTAAAAAAAAAGTTATACTCACCTGATCCTAGGATCACTTTTAGACCAGTCCTTCCAGCCTCTCTCACCCTCCTTTGCAGCGGTCTAAGGTCTTGTAAATCATCAAGACCTTAGACCGCTGTTGGGATGAGTATAACTTTTTTTTAACACCTAGATAAAAACGAACACTTAACCCTTGCCCTGGAGCGCCCCCGCACTTAAAGTGTTAAGAAAAAATTTTTGTCCGCAGTTCTTTTTAAAAAACATCTTATGTCTCACAATTACATTCTACCATATACACTGAGTGGCCAGATTATTATGACCACCTGACGTTTGTAGGCAAATTAGCTATAATTAGCTATAATTTTGCGCTGAAGTTGCTAGAGGGCCAGACCATTATAAATAGGGAAGCAGGTTGTTTACCACGACAGTAGAAGTGATTTTTTTCTGAAGATATGGGTAAACAACGCGATTTAACAGCCTTTGAACGTGGGATGATTGTTGGCGCTCGGAGCCATGGAGCGAGTATCAGCAAAACAGCAGAATTCGTTAAATGTTCAAGAGCAGCTGTTGTTAAAGTGTTTAAAGACTGGACTGTCAGCCGAAAATCTGGGTCTGAACGTGCAAATTGTGGCCGTCAGCGACTAGTCAATGTTAGGGCAGAACGGAGAGTGGCAAGACTGGTACAAGACAACAGAAGGGCAACAGTGCAGTGTCAGATTCCTCGCATCACCTTTCAACATCTCGTGGAGTCACGAGGCGGCCCAACGAAGTACTGATGGGGTGGTCATAATAATCTGGCCACTCAGTGTATAACTCTTATAGTGAAACTCTGCTTTGTCTTTGCTGGGCAAAGCAATGTTTTTATTTCCACGGCCTGCATGGGCAAACCTTGCTTTCTCTTCTGTTCAGATAAACAGCATATGTTCTGTCATAAAGTGATTCCTGCTAAGTTTTGTTCACATCAATTTATATTTGTTTACTTCTCTTTTTTATGTAATGACAACATACCCACTGTACAGAGCTTTGCTGGATTTTGTAATTCATTTCTTACATGCTTCTTTTCTTTCAGAATAAATATTGCTACAAGAGAGCAGTAATCGCCCAGCTCGCAGATCTTTTGGAAAAACTGGAATTTAAACCAAATTCACAAAGTTACAATCATACTAAGATACTAACCAACCTATACAACCAAAGAGTCAAGAATTGTATAGGTGATGTCTATTTTGACAAGGTAAATTTCTATTCCATATGACATCCTAAACAAACACATGGTGTGTAGCATATATTGTGATAATTGCCAGATTTGTTTATTTTACAGTGGGCTATCTGTCAAATGAATATGTGTGCCTTAGCAGTTATTATTTACTAATTCATTCAAATTCTTCTTTTTTTACTCAATTCATTAGGAAGATATCTCACAATGTTCAAGTCACAATGATTTGAGTCCTGCCCAAATTTTGGAAAGAGTAAAAACGTCATTTATGATATTTCGAGATTTTAAAGAAGAACCATCTGAGAATTGTTATTTGGAATATGCCTCGTGTGAAGAAGATTATCACTATGTCAAAAAAGGTGAGATTAATGATAGCTTCCAGAGCTTTGCTTACACAAACCATTTTCAGTTAAAGCTTTAAACATGATACGAGATTGAACATTAATGATCATTGTTTGAGTCCATGGGTCTGATTTACTAAACCTTAAAATGAAGTGAGGTGAAGTACAGAAAGCAGAAGTCATCCTTGGCTAGATTTACTAAAATGTAACGTGAGCTAAAAACAACTTGAGGGGAATTTATCAAAACTGGAGCAGACAAACATTGGAGCAGCTGTGCATGGCAACCGATCAGCTTCTCTTTTTTATTTTTAAATATTAACTGAACAAACTGAAGAGAGAAGCTGATTGGTTGCCATGCACAGCTGCTCCAGTTTTTGGCTGCTCCAGTTTTGATAAATTCCCCCCTCTGCGTTCACTTTAAACATCCAATCATGTAAAGAAGAACCTCCCATATTTTGAATGTTGAAAAAAACACAGACTTACACTTTGCAAGGCATTGTGTACGAAGGCATTTGTTTGCTTTCTAGCTGCTTTACACCCCATAAACATCAGTGGGAATGCAGAAGCTGCAATTGGTCATCTGAATGCAATGTGCACGCACAGGGAAACATGTAGCATTTGACTTATTGCACAAGACTTCAATCTGGCCCAGGGTAACTTCACATCAATGCATTCTGCTGCATTTCACACTTTAGTAATTAAGACCCAGCGTCTCTAGCACATTAACTAATCCAGTGCGTCTTTAAAGGATAAGTTCACCTTTTGCAAAAATTAAAGAACTGCATAATTAATAATATATAAACAAAAATATGCATTTCTTTAATATTTGCAATCAAACCTGGAAAGCATTGCAATTGTGATCACAGCTGCAAAGCTCAGGCTTCTGCACATTCTCTCCCAGGCAGAGCTCGTATGGAGGTACGGAGTTTTAGTTAGGAGAGATGGGGGAAAGGACAGCTGGACTTCAAACTGCATTACATCACCTCATACAGCGTCCTCGCTCTAGGTAGAGCTGCCCATATTCCTGCATCTACCTAGAGGGAGGACGCCTGGATGTCGAATTAGGTGATTTAATGCAGTTTGAAGTCCAGCTGTCCTTTCCCCCATCTCTCCTAACTAAAACTCCGTACCTCCATACGAGCTCTGCCTGGCGGAGAATGTGCAGAAGCTTGAGCTTTACAGCTGTGATCGAGTGATCACAATTGCAATGCTTTCCAGGCTTAAATGCGAATATTAAAGAAATGCATATTTTTTTATATATTATTAATCATTTCTTTACTTTTTGCAAAAGGTGAACTTATCCTTTAACATGTCTTTGGTCTCATACTAACATACCAAATGCCACTAACATATCTTTAGTCACGCTAGGCAAACCCAGTGCCACTTTAACATATTTGTAGTGTTAATACAGACCAGGGCTTTATCAAAGCCTCTCCCTCTTTCTTTGAATCTTGCAGGTTCTCAGTGTGCTTGTCCTTCCCCAATACCACCCATTGTTTCTAGTTCGGCAACCCAGAAATCCCTAATCAACCCGTCAGAAATTAAGAGCAGTCCATCTGCATCAATCATCCCCTTCAGTACAGTTCCCCTTACAGATTACATAAGTGTCACGGACACCCAAAATCCTCAACAGAGCTCAGAGAGCATAGAAATGTCATCAATCATCTTAACAAGTATACCAACTGAAGTACAACATCTAACCACCATCATGGATCACTTGCATGCTGCCACCACAGATCGTCCGGTCTCAGGCCCAGAGTCTCCACATACCAAAATGGACATTACATTCAGTGACATGGAATTTACTAAAGGTATCACTGAATCAACATATGCCATGGGTTTTTCTCAAACTAGGACATATCCTGAGCTTTCCAACATAGAGGGTTTAAATACAGATGGCTCACATATTGAAACATTTTCTACTACTACCACAGATCTAAACAAAGATTATTCTCAGCTAACAAGAGAATTAACTTCTATCACAGAACCAGCTGTTGATGAATTATTGGGAACTACGGAACATAGTATTGTTTCACAGAGTTTGGAGTCAAACTTTCAGAAATATTCTGAGGCCAGCATGGAGCCTGGCATAGAGCCATCATTATCTAGCACTGTAACCAAAATGCGGCGCTCTCTTGAAAATGTGGATAAGACTTTATCGGTATATGCATCTACACATGCTCAACCTGTTCTATCCAGTGATGGCAGCGCTACGAAGCCACATTATCTAACTTCAAGCATCCCACCTACCTTTAACTCTCTTCAAACCATTTCACAGGAGAGCGATATCAGAAACCTTGGTTGGGCTGCCTCTTACCTTTTGCCCACTATCTTAACAACTAAACATACCAGCTCTGAAGCTGAAATGTCTTCCCCTGTCTCTGAAGTCCAGTCACTACCTTCAGAAGCTTCTTTACATCCAAAGTTGACAGGACTTGAGGGAGGGTACACACACGACAATAAGCATCAAGAGCAAAATGTAGCAGCTTTTTTATCTGAGGACAGGGAAAACAAAGGTGCTGGTCCTATTCATGGCTTTAATCGGCTCCCTATCCTTGAAACAGAGCAGCATCAGGATGGAAGACAGAACAGCAACTTATTCCTGGTCATAATTCCAAGCATCCTGGCAATATTGTTTCTGTGTGGACTTCTATTTTTCATGTATCGCTATCGGGTGAGTGACAACATTTTGACCAAATAAATTGTTTGTTATGTACAACATACTTACAGGTAAATTCAATAAAAATACTCAGAGCATTAGACACTTTTATAAAAATGCAGCTGCAAAATCTGCCAAGCTTTGTGCTGGAGCTAATCACAGGTTAAAGTTTATGTAAAGGCAACATTTTATCTTTTAGCTTCAAACAAAGTAGGAAAGGGTCAGAGCCCTTGTTTGTTTTTTATTGCTGTCCATGTCCCTGCTGGGGAGATTCCATCCTCTATTTGTAATTGTCACCATTCTAAGGCCAGGTTTACATCTGCACTACACCGCATGACACCTGGGACGCGTGTCCCGGGGCCGTGCGATCGTTTGCTAGTGCACACAGCGATTGCCCTGCAGCCCCATTGATTTCAATGGGGTGGCATATGCACATATACCTTTTTTTGCGACACACGACGCGCGGTTTCCGCCTGGCGCGAGTGGGGTGCCATTAGAAAATAATGGCACCCACAGCGCGATCGGTTCACACATTGGCGACTCCTGACCGAGCCGCAATCATGCACAAAACCGCGTGGATTGCCGCCCAGTCAGGAGTCGCCTAGTTGTGAACCTAGCCTTAATGGCACAAAAAGTGATGGGAAGCCCAAAGTTTAAGATCTTTCGAATTGGGACAATTTTTCCTGTGACAACTCTAAGAATTTCACTCACTTTGGAGAGATTGCCTCTCATTTCCTGTTTGACTACTGGACATAGTGAAGGGACATCTTCCTGGCAGGACATGCATCAGAAATAAAAGCTTTGGCTTTACATTCAAGTTGGCAGCATCCACTTAGTAAACAAGCTGACTCACAGAAGAGGCATTGGGGTTTAGTAATGACCCCCACAGTCTGGTTTTGGGTGTTTATTGAATCCCCCTGTTAGTCTTGTTGTACATGTGTGTTAATAGTAACAATGCAAAATGTGTCCTTGGACCTGGAATACTGTAATAGAGCATTTTTACGTGGAATCTATTTTGCAGGCCTTTCCAAGCTGGTCTCTCAATTTTAGTAACAGGAAACTCTGCCTCTCCTAATAGAAAGACTTAGGACAGACTGAGTTCCCTCTCATTAATGAATGAAAGAAGTCAAGCTTCTAGATCTTTAACCCTTTTTTGGGCGGTGCCAGCACAGTAAAGACAGCGTTAATTATCGTAAACGTTACACTCCCCACCCTTCCTTGCATTCCAAAGGGAAATTTGCTACAGAGAAAATACATTATTTGAGAATCGATCTTGTTTACGCAAGCAGTAATTTCATTTTTTTTATGTATTGTATGTGAATGAGAACATGTAATACATATCAAATAGGTGTTATCCCATTTGGCTGCAAGTGGAAAATACCCTTTAAGGAATGAGGCTGCAAACCTCACTCTTATAGGTATTGACACTGTATTTTTGAATTCTCAAATGTCACTTTGACGCAAAGAAATTGACTGGAAATAAATGCTCATGTCCAGGCATGCTTACGTTTACTAACATTTATGAAATACACATATGAGGAATGTACTGTTTTAATAATATCAAAGTGAGCAGAAAATCTGCTAGCTTCCAGAAAGATATATTGCTACTAATTTACACTTGGGGCAGTTAGCCATAGCAAACAACCAAATGTATGCTTTGAGAAGAGTAACGTAAGCCCAAATCTGGAAAATATTCAGATATTTTATAAACTAAAATCTAATACAGTAAACTCCCGGATAATGGATACTCTAGTTTTTGGTTGCTTAAGAATTAATAGTAACTCTCAAGCAACCGCCACTTGCAATTTGAAATACCAAATAGCAGGCAGGCTATTGAAACCCCACACACTGAGAAAGTTCTCTCTCAAGTCCACTCCTCTGCTCAGTTGGCAGGTGCAAAAGACAGCCTGCTGTTGCAATTTGAAATGGCCGATAGCTGGCGGGCTATTGCTCCCCATTGTTTACCATTCTGCTGCCGACCGTGAAATCTAACCTCCAGCTGGCAGCAAGATGTAAACAAAGAATTTCATTTGCAACTAAATTTAGTTGCTAATAAAAATTTTGAGTGTGCATCAAGCTAACCGGCAATTTTTAGTGTGCATCAAGTGACCGACAAAAAAAAACCGACATAATTCTAAATTATTTTTTTTGGGATGGTTGCTTGAGAGTGCTGGTTTCTTGAATGCCGGATAATGGGGAGTTTACTGTGCATATACATAACCATAACCTGCTTAAGCACAAGAGCTGTTAAAGCAGCTTGTAAAATTAAGGAGTGGCGTACCGTCTGGGAGAACTGTATTTGATTATTCTTTTCAGCTGTCTGGAGGACAGTACATTTTTCTTCATCTAGTACACAACTTAGCTATGATATGCAGTAAAGGAGTGGCTCCAGGCAAAGCAGCAAATTTTTCCAATATGCTTTTCTTAGAGGCATACATTACAATCTATTTGTCTCAGAAAGCTTTTGGGCCCTGTGATTAACAGAACTACTTGAAGGCATAATATCACATAGAGATGGTTATCAAAGTTTTGTGCTGCTTCCTTAACAAAGCTGCCATAGGCTGCACAATCGTGTCTGTACTGCCCATGCTTTAAAGCTATTTTTAGTGATTTAGAGCTGACCTTTACACTCAAAAATCAAGTTCTAAAATCAATGCCTAATAATAACATAGACATGTCAGGTGTAAAATGCTGTGATTTTGAAATACTTACACTTGCAGAGCATTCACTTCCTGAAAGTGCAAATTACTTCAGTTTGCCAAAGCAATGCACACTGGGATTGCCTTGTCATCAGCAGAGCATTGCTGGGAAATCTCATCTGTAATCTCACAAGATCTCAGGGAAAGGCATTTACCTGTCCTCAGATGATGTGCACGGTCACATGTCCTGGTCACGTGTCTAGTCACATGTGCCAGGAAGTAATATGAGAGCTAGTAATCTGCCCTTAGTAAACATGGCCACTGTCAGGAGACTGGGGAAGAAAATAGAAATAAGGTATACAAAAAATACAAAGCCGGCAATTATCTAGAAGTATGTGTTTGTAGATTGCCATTATTAAACATTTCTAAAGGTGTGTATATTGTCATTTTAAAGATATGGGTAAAGGTCCACTTTAAGATCTAGGAAACAGATACCTTCCTCCCTCTGTTATTTAGGAGGGCACAGGTGAGTGGGTGGACCTCAAAACAGGCTACCTATTACATATATTATATATGTGTAAAAGCAGTACTTGGGGGTCACCACATCACTCTGCATTGTGCAGTTGCCCTTGAAATATGAGCTCTGCTTAGTATTACATTGACATTTATCTCCTTATTTAAACAGTTAAAGCACAACCTCCTACCAAAACAAAATTTTCAGCTTTAAAAAGGGGAGAAAAAAATGTAGGTTTTATCGAATTTCTCACCGTAAGTGATGAGCTGGGGCTTGGTGTATGTCCAAGGGGCTTGGTGTATGTCCACCTGTGTCCAAGCTCGCTTAACACTATGACCAAAACACAATGAACAGCCCCCCGCCTTTCCCAGGCCCAATCAGTTGCTGCAGACGCATTTCACGCAGCTATAAGTCACAAAGGGACAGGGAATGCCACGACCGTATCTTATTGGGTCAGGAGGGGGCTACAGCGGTCATAGTTTTGAGCAGGCTTGGACGAACTCAGACGGACTGGTTTCGCACCAAACCCCAGCTCATCACTAGTCACCATGACAGTTATTGAGGGAAAAACACTCCAATAGAGACAAAATAAAAATTTCATAAACATTCTAATCATTCCCAAATCCTTCACTAATTCTGAGCCTTTTGTGTTCTCCACCCACAATGTTTTGTTATGACACATTTTGTGAAATCTTACTAAAGCACATACAGTTATAAATCTATTTTTTGTTCTTATTGTTACAGCTTCTAAGACGACAGCTAAATAGAGAAGTATCAGAGTTGCCTGAATTGAGGTAAGTGAACTTAATATTCTTATCTGTTATTTATTTAAGTCCTGTTCACTACATGCACATTTGAGTTGCCATGCATTACTCTTTATGATGATGCCTAAATGCTTCTTTTTTTTTTTCAGGCCTTTGCATTGTGAACCTGAGAATGTTTAGATGGTAAGTACTGTTAATTATATCAATATACATCAAATAGCTTTATTTCCAGTATTGAAAATTTGTCCCAGTTTGTCACTATATTGCTCATTACAGAAAGAGAGACCTTTGATATCCATTAGTGGAGATGATATACTAAAATCCACCTTTTGTATTCCCTTAAAAGCAATATATGTATTTCATTTTTTTTTTCTGTAACTGTAATAGATATAAATGTATATTGCACATCACTCGCTTTGGAACCTCAAAGCCAGCAGAGCGCAATAAAAATTGTACTGGAGTTGTAAAAAATATGCCAGGAGGAGAGCCTGGTCACGCGACCTGTCAAAGTCACATGACCAGTCCTCCAGAGAAAACTCGGTAAAGTTCACTATAAATCTGCCCCAAGGTGTCAAAAACTGTCCACCGCAGTCATGGGATGCTCCTCTCAGAAGAATGTTTTACTTGTAGCAGAATCTGTCTTTGAGTGGAGATCTTGTATTTAAAAATTTGTTTTAAAAGTCCTTTCCTGTGTGGTCCTGATGTTATAATCCCCAGGTCTGAAGATTCCTAAGTGATCCACTCCCTTTATCACACATACAGCAGTACAGCAGCTACTTTTTTTAGTTTATGGGCTTCTGCAGTACAACAACAATAAAGTGCAACACCCATGGCTACCAATCAGAATCCATCCAGCAAAGAGAATTCCTAGAGTTTCCATGGGTTTCTGCAATTATCACCTTGACTGTTGTTTTTTTTTTTGAATAAGGCTGTTGAGGTTTGCTCTTCTGATTTTAGTGGAAGATATACACCAGTCTTTCTCAACTGGGGTATTGGGGCACCCTGGGTTGTCTTTGGCTTTCACAAGCATGCGTAAAATTTTCGCACAGTATTATGCCTTTCCATGGAGCAGGAAGGCTGTCCACTTAATGGATGCAAATCCAGGGAGAGTGGGATCCATTCAAAAAAGGATGCACGTTTTCCTCTCTCTAGACCTGCTTTCTGCCATGCTGCAGCTCCTGCTGTGATGGTAGGACTCTGATATGAAGGGTGGACTGGGGACTCTGATGTATAGGGGGCTTCTGATATGAAGGGGTCTCCTGTTGTGAAGGGGGAACTCTAATGGGAAAGGTAGGAACTGTAATATGAATGGGTGTGCTCTGATGTAAAGGAGGGCTTCTGATGTGAAAGGGGATTGTTGTCAATATCCAGGTTAAGGGTCTGGTATAGATTTTTGAGGGGCTACAGGTCGTTTTTTTACATTTACATTTTAGACTAGGGTGCCTCAAGATTTTGCATCCTTTTAGGCCCTTTCACGCGGCCGCTCCAATGGGATGCCCAATGCAAGTCTATGGACAGGCGTGTGTACATGGATAAGAGTCTGTTTAAACTCGGTTACCTCCACCTCCTGCCAGGTCCACAAAAAACAAACAGAACAGTGTTCCATTTTGACGGACTGGATCATGTCGGATCGGGGGTAATCTGATAAACGGAAACATGTCCATTTACATGAAATTCCCTATAGATCGGCATGGGGTGTGGTAAATGCAGTTTTTTCCTCCAATGCAAGAAAAAACTGTACGGACACGGATGTCACAGCGGCGACATCTGCTCCGCACTGCTGCACTGCTGCAGAGATCCTGTCCTGATCAGCCCATGTAAAAGGGGCCTTAAAGGGTGCCCTGACTGAAAAAAAGGTTGTGAAACACTCATATACACCAATACAGCCAGAAGCAAAATCTGCAGTGTATGAAAGAGATCCCTAGAGGAACTTTCCAGGGTTGGGGTTTTACAGCTGGCTTGTAGGCATATAAAATGTCTGTACAGATATTATATATATATATTTTTTGGAGAATGTAGATACCGTAGTTTTTTTTATCAGTTCATGTATCAGTATAGACTGAAATAACCTAGAGATAATTGACTGTGTTCTACAAACAGACAGGTGTGTTGCAATCTCCCTTACAAAAGTTATATGAAGAAAGTCTAGCTTTGCCCGCTGAGTAAACACAATTTACATTAACGCTTTCAGCTGCAGAGGTATTTGACTTTTGCTTTTTTTCTACACAGGACGCATCTGACTGTTCAAAGAAGGATTTCCTAAAGGATGCTTACCGCCAGAGCTTGTTTTGCACGGATTGCACTTGAGGAGTGAACTTGCAAATCTCAGTTGCCGTGTGGTATATTATGCTTTGGCTGTCTTGTCACCTAGGAGGTTAATATATGTAAAGTAGACGCACCCTGCTTCACACTGAGCCTAAGGCAGGCTTGTTTCCTGTGACAGACTTACAGCTGAGACAAAAGTTTTCGGCTGAGGGAACCAGAGTTTTCCTGTGAATAGCATCTGCTGTGCAACTATTGTGCAAGTATTGGCAAGGCTTTCCCAGTGGACATGCTGCATGTAACATGAAGTACTCCACATAGGAATTGTTTGGAAAAGTAAGACAGTATCCAGTAAACAGATGTTTCTGTTGAATGTTATGTATATAATGGACAGTTTACAGAAGAGATACTATTTAGTCTAATCATGCTGGTCATTTTTTGTAATCACCACATTTTGTAATTTAAGAAGGAGTAGAATGTATGCACAGACAAACAAATTGGATGACACCCGTGGGTTATGTAGCGTGTAACTGAAGTTGGAAAAGCAGACGGAAATATGTTTTTCTTTTTAAATATTCACATAATTCTGGTTTTAATATTCAAACTATTGCTGTTCTATAATTAGCCATTTTCCAATGGCTAGCATATCATCTGGCCTGTTTCTCATTGTAAAGTTATTTATTTGCCTTCTTATCAACTTGTGTTGGTATCACCTTTTATAGCAGATGTGGGTTATAAGTTATCAGCAAAAATACAGAAAGAGAAACATTACAATACAAGAAAGAGAACCCCATATAAATCATTGTCAGTATTCATAGAAACATGTCAGTCTTTATATGTGTACTCAATTTGTAAAAATAATAATAATTTTGATTTGCTTTGATATAAAGCCTCTATAAAAAAAAGGACTCCATTTCCCCCTCACTTGGCTAACTTGTGTGTTAAGTAGGCAACTTATTACACTGATTGACCTGTATCTGATAACAGGCACCACTGCCCACATAGCTCTGTGAGTGGGAATCCTACGGAACTTAAAGTTGATGGGGGGACAATGCCCAATTGGCATGCTATCTTGTCTGTATCCTCCTGATAATATGTGCTGAGAGTACAAAGGTTTTTTATGTTTATTGTACCTAAATTTGGTATTGGGTTTAAAGAGGAACTGAACTCCGTAAGCTGTGTATTCTAAAAAGGCATGCAGAGGGAAAAGGAATTGTTTACAGAATTGCTGGTTTCTCTGCAGCTGATCTTTCCCCGATTACTGCCTTGTTTCACACACCGTCTTAGTAGAGGCAGGATTTTGCTTCTTTATGGCAGAGCCTGGAGCAAGGAGTACAGTGAACAGAACAATAGTGGCATCTCCAGATCTCCCAAAACTAGCAGTCAAAGGCAGCAGTGTCTTAATCTCTCACTGCAGCTTTACAGCTATTAGGGTTTTGGCACAGGATTGCCTAGGCAACCTCACATACCAGGAAGTAGACTGCTAGTGTATATTTCAGCGGTAATTCAAGACAAAGATCCTTTTTTTTCAGGGTACTGTTGTGGAAATGTTACTAGGATGTGTTTTTAGTATATTGTAATATTGTCATCATGTCTCTCAGTGTCTGGATTTCTGGGCCATGCTCGATTGGCGCGTGACCCGGATTTAAATAGACACTGGGGTTAAACCATTGGAGTAGATATCTTATGCGTGGCGGAGCAGTGTTTTCTTAGCGAGTGTGTGGACACCAAGCTAGGGCCCCTGCGCAAAACGCGGATTTATTTGTTTGGCGTGTATACAACTTGCTTTGAGGACATGGTATTATTTAAGATACATATCTGCCTTTATGAAAGAAACGTGCGTTGGTATTTCTGATGCGTCTGATCAGCGCGCTGGAGATAGTATGGCATTGTCACTGCAGATAAGCACGCATTCATAGGAATCCTAGTAACGTTATTGGGCATTGCTCACTGGGCAGTGCTGGATAAGGTTCGCTCCAGTGGTAATGGGAGATTGTGTTTGTGGGTCTGGAAAGATGGCGGCTAGGAAAAACATGCGGCTGTGCACACGGGTCTATGGGCTATGCACACCGCTTCTACTATGATACAGACATAAACTCCCTTTTCTTTTGTGTATATGTGCTTTGTTGACTGGCTATGATATGTTGATGTATTGAGGAAGTGATGTTGGTTGTTGACATCACTTCCTGGTTTGCTGTTTGAGACATCACTTCCTGTTTGACATCACTTCCTGTTGGACAACTATAAAAATAATCAGATACCTGTGCTGAGCGCTCTAAGAACCGAACCACAGAACGAGCAGCATGAAAACATCACCGTGTCCTGACTCTACATGACTCTACAGGGGTACCTCCAGTCCTTGCACAAAAGAGCTTAATACAACTGTGCTTTTAAGCACGGGGGAAATTCTTTGTGTTTGGCGGCATACTTTGGTGCACTCTAGTGCGGCCCGGATTTGTGCGTTGAACCAAGCGAATTTCCATAACACTGTTTAGGCAAATGTAACATTTCTAATTTTTCCTTTTAACAAAGCAAATCTTTCGTTTTTGAGTTCAGTTCTACTTTAAATTGTCTTACATATATACGCCACTTCTGTTACTCTCTAGGTCTGTGTTCCTCACCTTCTCCACAAATAATATATTGTAGTTAGCTACCACATTCCATAGTGCAAGCTATATTTCTACAGAACATCAAAAGCATTACTGGGGATGTTAAGAGGGGAGGATTTACAAAAGGAGCAGAGAATGTTGATGTAGCCAAAGGAATGT